GATTTTTTAAAAAAAAATCAAACAAATCGGATTTGTTTGATTTAAATCGGATTTTTTTTAAATAAAATGCTTTTTGAGGAAAATATATTACCACCCAAAGGTTATTCCATCATGAAATAAAGATTTGTTTTTTAATTATGTAGAATAAGGCTGTATATGTTTAATTTTTTTGGTAAATAAATTCCATGAATCCATTCACAATGTCATGCTTTTCCAGAGGTTTTTGTAAGATTATTGGGCAGTTTCTCTGCCTACAAGATATTATCACAGATGCTCGGTTTACTTTTGCAGTTCTCAAAACTGAATTTGACTCAGCGGAGATCACATGCCTCTTCTTCACAGCAAAAATGTTATAACATGAACAGAGTTAAGAAAAAGACCTTCATCCTAACTTCTACAAACCTATGAATACAGAATCAACCCCTTCACTGCTAAGTTTCAAGAAGTTCAGTGAATAGAATAGAAACAATATTTTTCTGATTGTTTGGAGTGGAATAGATCTGCACAAGAAGAAAGTGCAACTAAGTGTGAGGAGGAAGGGGCTGACAGTCTACGTTTCTTAAAATATATATATTTTGTTTAGCCAAATTAGTTACCAAACATGGATGTTTGTTTAAGCAAATCACATATGCTGGAATGTTATTGTTTCAGATGAATAAATCTATTTAAATTGTTATTATTAAGGTAATGATTATTTTTCTCCTTCCTAAGTACAACAGAAAAGTTGTCCAAATATGAATGATTAACCTATTAAACTGGGGATAAAAAAACTAATATGAAAAGTTGTTATTCTAAAAATCTTCATCTACTTGTATATTAAAGTTATACCAGCAAGAATTAGTCTTTATGTAGAAAACTAGGATTTAAATCAAGCCTGACTGACTAGTGATTTAAATCGTGATTTAAATCAGTTTGATTTAAACCAAATCCACCCTGAGTACAATAATAAAGTACAATATGCAATGGGAAAACTTATATAGCCCACGTGTCTGTAATGTCCACCATAAACATACATCGTAAATGTCCACCATGTGATAAATGAATCTACATACAGAACAAATCTTCTTAGTGTTCACCAATAATGTGCTCTTCCACCACCAAACTAAATAAACTCACCAATGCCCCATGCTGGTAAAATAATAAACCAGCTAATAGCATGTGATGCTCTGGGAGTAACGGTCTGCAGCCTCACGATCCTTTTCTCGCTCGGCTTCTCAGAAAAGTGCACTCACTCAGGGCGGGGACAAGGGGTGGGCAGAAGGGATGGCAGCCCTGGGTGCAGCATGCATTGTAGAATTGAGGGCGCCTCAAGTTCCTTCTACTACAAGGCTGACAGGAATAGTGACAGTGGTATCTCTACTTCAGCCCAGCACTGGAAGTGGCATAGAGAGGAGGAGAGAGCCAGGAGAAGGTGCAGGCTGTGCTCTCTCTCACCCTCCTCCTCATAAGTTTTCACATTAAGGGGGAGGGGGGTGCAATTTGACATCTTTACCCTGGGCACTGGATGATCTTCCCTGCACTCCACTCCCTTAACTCAATCAGTCATATAAATGAGGAAGAAAAAAGAAGGGGGGCTCCCATAACGTAAAACCATTAAAAAATGTTTTATTGCATAAAAGAATCGAACAACTCAAATTCACATGTGTTGCCACTGACACAAGCTTGTGGGCACATTTGTAAAATGTTGGGTTGTCTCTGGCCACAATCTCCAAGCCATGAGTCCAACCACAGCTGTGCATGGTGACGTCACATCCAAGCCTCGTCCTACGCATTTCATCACTAGACGTCTTGGAGCTTGTTCAATTAAGCTTTGACAATAAAACCTGGAAGCTGATTGGTTTCTATGCAGCTGCACCAGATTTTGCACCATGCAATTTAAGTACATAATCCTCTTAGTGTCAGACAGGGTTACATACGGTAGAACTGGTTGGGTCGGCCAAAAGGCTGCAGATAACAATGACAAATGTTATTTTCTATGTGGTATGTAAGTCATTGCTTTCACTCACTTCATGGTGTATAATACAAAAGAGCAGATGATATTGGCTACAGCATGTGGCTAGTAATATACTGTGTATATATATAAGAATTGAAAGGGATGGAGCGCAGATCTTCCTGCTTTGTCTTTATTCAAACACACATGTGGCAAGGAACAAAGGATGAACATTTCAGGCAACACTAACCTTTCTCAGGTTCACAAAAGAAAGGGCAGTTTTGCCAGAAACGATTATTCTTTGTTCTTTGTGACATGTATGTTTGAACAAAATCAAAGCAGGAAGATCTGCGCTCCATCCCTTTCATTTCTTGGAATCGTATGTTTTGCTTTGTTTGGGAGCCCACTGGATGTCTTGAAGCACAGAAGTCTACCAGTCATATCACACAGCTCACTACATATATTACAATGTATACTGTATGTGTGCGTATTTATTTATTTATATTAGTAGGATTTCCAGTTCTGGTGTTTCCATGTGTTTCCATGTGCACCCTCCAATGGAGTGATGAGGTGCAGGGTGTATGGTGATATGTACAACTCCAAAATATCACTCTGGCCCTAAAGTGTTTTCTCACCTATGAAAGATTTTCTCATCAGATCCCTTATGCCAGTAAAACAAAATATTAATCTTTAGTTTTAAATAAATGACATGCAGGTTTGTGTTTTTTTCTGTGGTTAGCAGACCCTTAACCTACCCTGGGGTATGGCCAGGGGCAGACTGACCATTTGGAAACTCGGGTACTGCCCGAGGGCCCGGGGTCAGTAGGGGGCCCCATGAGATGCCCCTGGTACCTTTTTCATTGGCTTTTTTGGGTTTGGGCAAGGACACAGGGGCCCCATGTTCCCCTATTGCCCGGGGGGCCCCATGAGTTGTCAGTCCACCCCTGGGTATGGCATGATTTGTCTTTTTGCAGTCAATGAGTATAGGCAAAGCAATGCTTTTGTCAAGTGCTGATGAGCAATCATACATGAGTTAGGCCCCATGCACACCGGATGTTTTTAAACAATGCTCTTAGGGTTGTCTGACATTTTATTTTTACCGCCTCTAAACACCCCCTGCGTGTTATCCTATGTGTCCATACACTCGTAGGTGCATAGAGGAGTTTAGAAGTAGGGGTGTTTGAAGACAGAAAAAACCAAAACACTTTCAGCAGAATCCAGGAGCAAAGGTGTTTTGGCAGAAATAAATAATTATTCTGACCAGTAAAATGAATTAACTGTCAAAACGCTTGATGCAGCTAAATGCCCAAACATGTCAATGCATTTTTCTAGCATCAGGCATTTTTTTTCTGCCAAAATGCTGCTGCCAGGAGGAAAGGCAACTAGGAGAGTTGGCAAAGCATTGAGTGTGCATGAGGTCTCAAGGAGAAAAAAAACTGTATTCTATAATCAACATGCAAAAAAAAAGGAAATGGTAATGTTTCCATGCAGTAATGTTCACTTCTGTAGGCCTGCGTAACATAGATTAATATTTTTTATAAAGGATTTATAAAGAGCCAACAATTTGCTCAGCACTTTATAATGTAAAGGGAAACAGTACAGTTATAATACAGTTCAATATGAAGTAATAGGAGGGTCCTTCTCATGGAGCGTACGATCTAAAGGGAGGGGAGGTGGTACAAAAGGTAACAGCTGGGCGAGAAATCTGATGGAGGCAGCTGAAGTACAGTTTTTAGTGAAGGTGGGGTAGAGTTCGCCTAAAAGTAGACAGGGTAGGAGTTAACCGGACATACTGGGGTAAGGAGTTCCATAGGATGGGAAAGGTTCTGGAGAAGTCCTGGAGATAAGCATGGGAGGAAGCAAAAAAGGAGCTAGAGAGCAGGAGGTCTTGATAGAAGAGGAGAAGACGATTTGGGCAATATTTTGAGATGAGGTTGGTGGTGTAGCTGGGGGAGTGTTTCAGATGGCTTTGTAAGTTGTGGTTATGTGGTTGAATGTTATACACTGGGCAATGGGAATCCAGTGAAGGGATTGTCAGCAGTCATGGATTGGTTAGTAAGGTGTATGGGTCTAGTGGCATCATTCATGATAGACTGAATGGGGGGATAGTCTGTGTAAAGGCAGGCCAGTGAGACACTGTAGTCCAAGGGGGAGATAACCAGGGAGTGCATATGTCATATTAAAATATAGAGTCATATGTGGTCATTTTGTAAGAGTAACCTCTTCACTGTAATCCCAACAAAAACCTCTCTCCACAGTCTACCAGCCCACTCCCAGTAAAATCTCCACAACTCCAAGTCCCTTTTGTTTTGTCATTTTTTGTAGTTGATGGTTTCATTGCCATCATTTGCTGAACTGGTGGCAGCAGCTAGATCCATACTTGCCTTGAATTTATCAAAACCGGCCCACTGCACACACTCCCTCCAGATTCGCCATGCAGCTTATGAACTAATGAGCTTTGCATACATTACGCAGGTAATTTGTAGAAGCTGATTACTAGTGGGATCAGGTAATGTAGCCGGGCAGATTTCTGGACATGAGAACTAGAAGTGAATGATCGAGCAGACAAGAGCTAGCTACATTACGGCTTCGTAGTTTTACTGCATTTTTTTTCCCATTTGTGCACTGAAACATGTTTATCAGATGTGTGGCCTTATTCATTCTTCTCCCCTTGCCAGCAACTTGCACCATTCAAATCCTATTTTCTATATAGTTCACTGATCTCACTATGCATCCCTGTGCTAAAAAAAAGTCACAAATCATTCCTATAGGCGAGTTACCGCTGCCCTACCTGATGTCAGGAGCTCTTGCTGGATCAGCTGTAGGTATAGGATTATAATCTTTTTTTTTTTTTTTTTAATTGTTGAACTGGATGGACTTTTGTCTTTTTTCAGCCAGACTAACTATATGTAATTATATACATAGTTGTAGCTGACAGCTTGATTCCAACTCTCCTCCTCAATCAGCCCCGACCAGGTCTAATACACTTCAGTCTAGTGGTGCCAACAAAATCATAAAATACTGATATTTATCCACCTGAAGAAGCAGAGGCAAGGAAAGGCCTGCTCACCTCTCTGTCCAGACCCGCCGCCACTGTATTAATGACTCCTGTTTCGCTGTGGATCACAAACATATCCTGGGATGGGCTTTGCGGACTCTGCGCCATGATGCGGTACATGACGATCCCGTTTGACGTGTTGATGTCATCAGCATCGTGTGCGGTCACTGTCATCACATAGGTACCTGTGAGCATAGAAAGTTACACATTTTAGGAAATGGGGGAAATATTAACATATTGGGATGAATCACTTTCACCATCACTTTCACCATCACTTTCACCATCACTTTCACTCTCACACTCACTTTCACCATCTTTTAAACCCTCCACCTACCCTCACTGGGGTTATTTACTAAACCTGCATGGTGCAACATGTGCAGCAGCTCTGCCCAATCAGATTCCAGGTATTATTGTCAAAGCTTAAAGTACTTGTAAAAGCTCCAGGTTTTCTATGCATGAAGGTAAAAAAAAACTTCTGAGTGCAGCAACCCCCCAATACTTACCCGAGCCCCATCTCGATCCAGTGAAGTGCACGAGAGCCTCGGCTGTCCCAGGTCTCTCCTCCTCATTGGCTGAGACAACAGCAGGAACAATTGGCTCCCCCTACTGCCAATCACAGCCAGTGAGCCAACGAGGAGAGAGTGAGGGGCAGGATCGAGATATGCTCCATGTGTGAATAGACACACAGAGCAGTGGCACGGCAGCGGTGATCCATTAGCAAGCTGCTTGTTTTGGGGGCACTCACCAGGAGGGAGGGGCCAGGAGCACCGGTGGCAGACCCAAGAAGAGGAGGATCTAAGTTGCTCTGTGGAAAACTACTACACAGAGCAGGTAAATATGACAGGTTTGTTATTTTAATAAAAACATATCTGCCTTTCCAATCACTTTAATTGAACAAGCTGAAGTTAGAAGCTGATTGGCTACCATGCACAGCTGCACCAGATTCTGAGTGATCCCGTTTTATTAAATCTCCCCCATTGTGTCAGTGTTGCCCATACTTTCCACTGCCATAGGGCTGTTGCTTGGTAAAACAGAACTGACCTGTTCTTATATAGTTAGAGTATTTAACTTTTTTCATATTCTTTTATCATTTCCTTTATCATCCTATTTAGGGGAAGTATTTTTGAATCATGTAATCAACAGATAATTGGAGGAAGTTTATAGGCAAGTAATACATTTGGCCACTAAACCAGTAAAGTGAACCTAACCCCATCTCGCCATCTTGGCAGCTCTATCAACAGCTTTGTGTTCTGTGGTCTGTCACTCATCAGCAGCTGAAAGAAAGTCTCCCACATTTCCATTTTTTTTCCCCAAAATAATGTTTACAATTTTAATAGAGCACATTATGTAGAATTGTATGCTCATTGTACCTATTCAGCAGTGAGCACACAACCAAGCAGAGGTTAAAGTGACACTAAACTCTGGTTTAAAAAATATATTCTATTCAAGTATGTATTCTTAACTCAGAAAAGTCTCTTCTATTGCTCCCTGCCTCCTCCAAATCCATAAATTCCTTTTTATTACTGCTGTAATCTGATTTCTTGCAGACAATGGCTACATTCGTTCACCATGGTCCCTCTTTAAAGAACAGCGTAGCCAGCCTCTCTTTTTCACTCCCAAGATTTAGTATGGACTATGAACAATGGAACCGGATATCGTATGTACTCTCCAGCGCCTCAGGATATGCACAGCCAAAAGGGAAGTCAAGGGTACCAGGACAGCGACAACCAAAGGAAATGTTCCAGGGGTGCAGCCCTCCTCAGACGGGGAAATCAGCCACTGGATAGAGAGAAAACAGGTGGCGCACACACCTAGTGCATTATCCAAGGTTAATTGTAGGAATGAGATAATAAAAACATACTCACAGACAAAGCATGTATCTAAAAAGCATAGAAAAATGACAATGGCCACAACGGCGGGCAAGGTGGCATCAACAGCGAGGCTCTTTCTGTCCATACATCATACATCAGCATCAGAGGTTGGTCATCAGCTCTGAGGAAAGGGATTTGTCCCCGAAACTCGTCAGCCATTTGACCGCACTGACAGTGAGAACACCTTGCCTGCCGTTGTGGCCATTGTCATTTTTCTATGCTTTTTAGATACATGCTTCATCTGTGAGTATGTTTTTATTATCTCATTCCTACAATAAATCTTGGATAATGCACTAGGTGTGTGCGCCATCTGTTTTTTCTCTATGAACAATGGGATGTACAGTGTGCCTAGAGCAGTGTACATGACCGTTTGTTCCAAACAACAGGAAGTGAGGGGGAAAAGAAAGGTTCAGGCGCTCAATGATGTTACAATGAAGCAGAAAAACACAGATTACAGAGCCATTACGTAGTGGTTGTGCACAGATTATTTCTGAAAAATTAGGATATTGTTTAGTTTCAATCAACTATTGAACTAAGCCCAAACTGTAAATCATCATCTTTGGCAAATAACAAATCTATACTGGGCGAGGGTGCATTTCCCTATGCACCATCTGGCCAATTGATGAATCTAAAATATATAACTTTTATTCAAATATATAAAAAATGTATACTCAGCTGTAATTAATGCCTATTGGAGTGGAATGTGCACATCAATAGGACTGGATACCATGGCAATTATTTACCTTACATCCATATGGTTAATAACACCAGACCAAATCAAATACCATACTGTTGTAGATGAAATGACGGCATACACTGTAGTTTGATCATAAGCCTATCAGCTTGAATATATAATCTCTATTAACCTCCCTGGCGGTATTCCCGAGTGTAGCTCGGGGTAAAATGTCAGTGCCAAAAGCGGTAACCCCGAGCTACACTCGGGCTTACCATGCGGCGCTGCATAGGGAGTCCCTGCAGCACTTACCTTGTCCTTCGCTCCCACGATGTGTCCCCTGCAGTGTCCCCGGCCATCTCCTCCGGCCGATGCCGGCATCCGGCTTCTGTGTTCCGGTCCCTGTGACGTCGGGACGCACGGGCGCCGGTGGGAAATTTGAAAATTTAAAAAAATTTAATTTTTTTCAAAACACATTTTTCATAGTAAAACATTGCTGTTTCAACCCATTTCACATACATTTTGTCCCTAGTGCTTTGTCCTGTGCCCTGCCTGCGTTTTGTCTGTTCTTTCTGCCTGGAAACTGAGAAACGTCCATGGCGTCCAAAAAGTGTCCCTTTAGGTCAAAAGTGGTTTTAGACCAGTTAGAGAACAGCGATAGTAAATCAGAACCACTTGCAGAATTAAGTGATAATGATTCGTGGGGAAATTCATCATTAGACACTGAAAATGATTTTGCGACTTTGCTCAGCGATGTGCGAACTTTGCGCTATATTTCAAATTTCAGTGTTTTTGGTTTGATTATATTATTGAATTAAATGTATTATTATTATATTATTATTTTTTTTATGATTATTTATTAAATTATAATTTATGATTTCGTGTTTCAAATTTTATCATACCCGGGATGTTTACTAGACTCTTGTTCGGACAGATTTCAGTGAGTTATTCCTAAAAATTAAAGCCTACAATAAAAAAACTACATATTTCCATGCAAAAAAATGTACCGCTTTCAGCACCAAAAATCTGAAATAATCATACCGCCAGGGAGATTAAGGAAATGGAGTTACCCCATGGACAAAACTAATTAGATAGTGTATTCTATCTTGCTACAGATATTTAATACAGGTATACTCATCCAGGGGCTTAAATGTCAGCCTCTCATGGATAAGCCCCATACATCACCATATCCACTCAAAAATGCCTCACTGTCTTGAGGAATCACTTTTAATAATATTAATGGTGATCTTGCCAGGCATGTCCTTGTTCATGCACTTCCTGTTCAGCCAATGCACTGTCCCTGTCTACCTATTCTTCCCGTGTTGTCACCCTGTCACACCCCAATGCACTGTCCCTGTCTACCTATTCTTCCCCTGTGTTGTCACCCTGCCACACCCTCTCTTGATGGAAAATAAAAGCGGCTGTGGTGACGCACTTTGCATAGGCATGTTGTTGTCACCATCGGGAAATCCACCTTGAGAAATGCAGCCAGTAGACAGGAAGTGGACACAAAGATACTGCGGGAGATCAGCATCTACTTTAAATATCCTGTGATAACAAAATCACTTAAAATAGTGTTCAGAGGATTAGCGGGGCCCAGAGTAGGGAATATTGCTGATGCTAGGTTCACTTCATTGGGGAAAAACATAGCTGTCACTGGCTCTGCTTTAGCAACCAATACATTAAAAAGTTATGGCTTTCACTCTTTTTCGGTCATTCTGAAAATGGCTGGAATCAGCTGGATTTCCCTGTAACAGTCTAGGCCGGGGAGGTGAGAGCCCACACCTGCAGGCCATTCTGAGTTTCCCCACTCCCCCTCGTAGTCCAGCCTTGTAATCACAGATCAGGTTTAAATCCCCTCTCTCCGGGTGAGACGGTTCAACACCTCTTCATTAATTGTATTAACAGTGAAGAAGCAAATGAAGGGACTTCAGGATGCCGGCACTTGATACGAGCCGGAGCGTGTTTGCCACTGTGCTCTTTAAAGGATTAATTTCACAAGCTGCAAATTACAGCTCCATTTCAAAACGAACTCAGTCCCGTAATTGGCTTTCTGTTCAAATCAGCCAGGCTAAAGATTTGAATTCTTCATATGCAGATGACTTTCAAGTATCGGGCCCCATCTGTGCCACGCTCGCTGGCATTCATCTCTCGGGGGACAGTCAAGTGAAGCGGAAACGACTGGTCCAATGATAAAGGAGGAAATGGCTAGGCGGACTCTTAAAGGGGTACTCCAGTCTAATTAAAAATAATGAATGTTGATTTTAAATGAGAAAGAGTAGAAATTACTTATTGCATGCATGCACACTTTTGTTAACTTTCCTGGCAGTGGGAGGAAATCATGTAGTTCAGTACCTGTCAGGATTTTAGCTCCATGCTCCTCTTTAACTGCATTCAAATAATAATAATAATATTTTACTATATAGAACATACAGAAGGAGAACAGGCCAAAATACAGTGCAATACGCTGAATAAAAGTTCTCTGACCAACACAAGATTCACCACCCCAGCTACCTACCAATAAAAAGTACACACCCCTATCTGACCAACCCAAAGTGACCCCCTAGGGAAAACCTTTCTTAAATCCAGATAGAGTTAATAAAGTCTAGACACCCTGTCACATTTTTATTGCTCTCTGCGT